AAAAAAAAAAAAAAAAAGAGCAAGTCCAACCCAGCCAGGGCAATTTAATGATTTAGCAAAACTGTCTCAAAATTTGCCAGGCATGGTGGCACACGCCTGTAATCCCAGCACATGGGAGGCTGAGGCAGGAGGATCGCTGTGAGTTTGAGACCAGCCTGAGCTACATAGTGAGTTCCAGGTCAGTCTCAACTACATAGTGAGACCCTGTCTCAAAGAAAAAACAAAAAACAAAAAGACAAGGACAGATTTTCTCTTCTGTTGAATGAATGAATGAATAAATGACTCCTCCTGTCTCAAAATATGTGAGCTGCCAGGAGCCTTAGACCAAGGATCATTATTTATATTTATCATTTGTCATCTGCATGTATGGACTGAGCCCTGTACTGCACAACACACACACACACACACACACACACACACACACACACACACGTCACCTCTAATCTTCATGACAACCTTGGGACGTGCGTATAGCCAACCCCATTACACAAAATAATGGAGAAACTGAGGCTCAGAGAAGTTCAGTGACTTTCCAAGGACACGCAGCTAGAGCATGGCAGAGCATCAAGGGCCCAGTTCTTCTGACACCATCTGGCTGGGTCTCTTCACCATCCACGGAGTCCCACCCCCGTTACACAGAAGAAGAGTCACTGCCACAGGCACAACTAACAGTAGCAGCAGCAGCCAGACCGATGGAGCATTCCATCTGCGTCACACGCTGTATTAGGAACTTGGCATAAATTGACTCATTTCCTCTGCAGACACGTTGCCAGGATTTGGGCACCAGGTGGTCCCCATTTTAGAAATGGGGAGTGGAAGCTCATAGAGGTTAAGTGACTTCGCCCAGGGTCACCTATCTAGTTGATTGTGGACCTGGGATATGACCCAGGCCTGTCCCTGCCTTTCTGCTATCCTGGGACCTTCTACATGAAACAGCACAACACATACAGATGATTTTCACGATGCCTTTTCTTTATCCCACTCTAGATAGGTATGCACGTAGATGCACAGGGTAGGGTCAGACACGTATGCACACAGAGCCACCAACTGACATGAAAGTTCTTCAAAGAATGCAGCCAGAGTTGGGCAGCCAGGGGCTGGAGTGGAGCAGCTGGGGGTGGATTCTATACTCATTGATACAGTCTTGTGCAGCACAGAGACTGCTGTATAATGTGGGCACTTACTATGTGCCGGGCATGCGAATTACCAGGGTTCCTTCTCACTACAATCCCACCGCACTGCTCCCCATTTTCCCAGGCAGAATAAATGGAGCTAAGAAGCAATTCCAGGGCTGCCTATCCCAGTGCAAAAACCACTAGTGCAGGAGACCAAGAACTGGGATCCAGTTCCAGACCCAACTTGCTGCACATCACTGACAGGTTGCAAAGCTATCTGTCCACCCGGA